CGGGAGAGCCCCACAAAACCCCGGCGTCCCCCCCGGGGGGGCGGGGGAATTTAAAAAAAAATTCCCCGGAAAAAAAAAAAAAAAAAAAAAAAAAAAAAAAAAGGTGCAGTATATGTCTAAAATACTTAACAAAAATAACGAAATTTAATCCAAATGTCAAGGTAGAGGTAGTAGGCTATCTATACCGAACATTATATTCATTGAGCGATGTACTCTCTGGATATGTTAATTGAATTTACTATATGTTAGTAGATTCCTTTAAATATTTGAATATATTTCTAAGAAAAATAATAGAGACTGGGAAACTAAAGTTAAAGTACATATCCGATTTTCTTTTCTTAGAATTCCATCCCTTAAAATCAATGATGTCGCGCATGCGTTATTAGATATTTAGTCCTGTCAAGAACCACCGGCTGGTGTTGTTTAGATGTATCATATCGTAATAAAAATGGACACTAGTTCAAAATGTAATTAAAAAATCGACGTTTAAATCAAAATCGTGCAAAAATATAGAGGTCAATAACGTAATTTTAACGTATAATTAATAAATTACGAATATAACGAATATTTTTATAAATACAATCACATCAAAATATTTATTAAATTGACCAGATTAATCTGTGTTAAAAGTAAATATTGTTATTTACTTAATGATAAAATAATTCGTCAACGTGAAAACGTCATGGAGTATTAAGAGTATTAATCAAAACAATGGGTCGTATTGTCTTGATTACATGAATTCGAAATGAGAAGTACAATAGTGTAAGATGAACGAGACTTTAGGACGCGGGTATGCCCGCATTGAAGCTATCCGAGCGGCCCGTGGGGACCTGGCTGCCCCGGGAGAACCAGCCGATCCACCTCCGGACCGATATAATTCAGTCTACTTTACCCTATTCGTTGCAGGAGCAGCATTTCTCCTTCCATATAACAGGTAAATTATTATTGATTAGGCTAACAATCTTGGATGGCTTTAAAATATAGATATTATAATATTGCATTATAATGCAAATATGTACATCGTAGTCTTATAGGACAAACATTTGGCGCCCAACGTGAGTGATATAAAACAAGACATGACGTAGTAAACGGAATCTTTAAAAAAAATACTAAGCTTCTAATAGAAATTGAAACATTTTTAATACGCACAGATTGTACCGCAGCGTTCAAAATTAAATTTTGAATAATAATTATATTATTAAATTAAATTAAATGTCTTTTATTTCGGACAACGAGTTCCATAATTTGTTAGTAATAATAACAAGAAAAGTGATTATAAATTAGTGTTAGTAGATACATATATTTTTTACATTATCTTTTTCAAATCACTTTCTTCATGAAGCGTTGCCACATGGGAGAGGTAATCCTACCAGCCACAGTTTGTAGGATGCTGTTGGGGCTGTCCGGCACTCTGCGCATTAGGGATGCTGTCTTTTTCCGGAGATTGACAGCAAAACCATCCGTCTCATACTCTGCAAACATCCCCGATGCACTACAGAAACGAGGCAGTCCCGACATCATCCTAAAAATATTATTGTACTGTACACGTAGGGTCTCCAGCGGCCATTTGGTGTAGTCAACCCATAGGCTCCTGGTGTAGAAACTTTGACAGTAAAACTTACTGTCAAAGTTTCTACACCGGCGTTATTTTTACTTCTTCTGTACACCGAGAATACCTACGGATCAACATATTACCTACATACGTAAATTAAAATTAATACGATTATTAACCTGTACATGCGGCCTTATTTTTAAAATAGGGACGCATCTTATTTGCTACTCAATCTAAGGTTCCAATTAAATAAAAATGTTGTTATATTTTCAGTTTCATAATGGCAGTAGACTACTTCCAGTTTCATTACCCTGGATCGACTATAATGTTCGATATGTCGACAGTGTATATTGCCTCGGCTTGCGTTGCAGTAGTAATCAACAATTTATTGCTTGATCTCTTCACGTACAACACTAGGATCACATTTGGTAAGCAAATGTCACTTACACATGGAATTTAATACAAAAGTATACGAGTATAACTAAGTAGTGACTATAAGTATTGTCATATATCCTTCAGTTGCCTATACTTATAATATACAAGCTTATGATGCTGATGCCAATCCTTTGTTTTATTTATTAACTCATACATTAGGTATCTACTTAGTTTCGTACATGAAGACCGAAATTGTTTTTACAGTTTATTTCGTTATGCCGAAATATTTTTCAGTTGTTCAAGTTACATTGGCGGTTATGAAACTTAGGTTAGGTTATGAAACTTAGGTTCTTTTTTATAACAATCAAACCAATGATATTTCTCAAACCCACAAACAGACTGACATGTCTGCCGTAAATTACCTTACAGCTACGACTGCCCGTTTTGTTTTCAGGAATCCTTGTTTCTCTGGCTGTGATGTTATTTGTAGCAGTATGCAACATCGGCTGGGACGGATTTTCAAGACATGTATCGTATAGCATAAACTTGGTTGCTATTGGCGTTGTAGCGTTTGGTTGCACTGTGCAACAAGCTTCGTATTATGGTTTCACTGGGTGTCTACCACCTAGGTATACACAAGCTGTTATGGCAGGAGAAAGTAAGAACCCTTCAACAGACTACAGCTTAAAAAATACAGGCTAATCATCCTGCAGTAGTTGTCACTATGATAAATGCTAAAAATCTAATTGCCGTAATTATTTTCCAGGCGCTGCTGGTTTCTGGGTTTCAATAGACCGAATTGTCACTAAGTACGGATTCAGGTCGCCTCAACGGAGCACTTTCATGTTCTTCGTGTTTTCAATCCTTATATTATTGGGACATACCATGTTGCACCACGTTATGATGCGTCATCCGTTAGTACAGCACTACTTGCGATTGACCAACGAATCGCGACATCGAAGGCGAATCCAGCTTCATTTGAATCCAAATGAGGATGCTACATTGGTTAAATAACAATTTTCTTTAATGTACATGTCATAAATAATAACTATACAATCGTACTAAAATCTCTATACGTTTGGACAGATGGAGAGTGAAACTGCGGAATCCAGTTATGGTGTACTCAAGTTACAAAGTCCTGCAGTGTCTGCCAATCAAGGTAAATGATGCATGTAATCATTACAAAATCAATGACGAATGTAGATTGTGCATATAAGTTATATAGTACACAATATGTTAATAGTTGCAGGTGGAGGCGAAACAAGTGCGTTCAGTTTCGCGAACCCATTATATTCACCCACAGCTACGAGTGCCTCGGTTCCGCTTGCGTCACCGCCTAGCTTGTCGGAACCTTCCGCATCACCTTCTTTATTGCATACACCACGGCCCTCTTATAAAGTTGAAGATGTAGTCTACGAAGCACCTGAGAGACCTACTTCTTGGCGGGCTTTTAAGCGTAAGTTGAACTTCGTCTAGATTAATAAATAGAATTTTATTTCTTGAGGTAGTAGGTAGAAGTTAACAATGCTGAATTTTTCAGTTCGAAGGTAAATTAACAAAAAATATTGTAAGGGCGCCTTCAAATTAGACGCTTATAGAAGCACTGCAGTGGCGAGTCTGTGGCGATACAACCGCGCTTCTACTAATTTTTATACAATATTTAGAAGCGAGAAAGAGGTCAATCGTCGAATCCGACTCGGCTGGGCAGCGTTCGGGAAATTACGCCATATTTTCTTGTCCAAAATACCGCAGTGTCGCAAGACAAAAGTCTTCGACTGGTGTGTGTTGCCAGTGATGACTTACGGCACAGAGACTTGTTGTTGACAGTGAGCGACCAAGTCTCAAGTTTTTCGAAGGCTCAAGGTCACTCAAAGGGCTAAGCGAAACGGCTTTGCTCAAAGTTTCGTTGCAAGATCAAATCAATAATGAGGATATCCGCAATGGAACCAAAGTACCCGGCCCAAAAAATTGGAAACTTAAGTGGCAGTGGGCAGACATTGCCGCAGAACAGATGGCCGATGGGGCCAAGAGTTCTTGAGTGGCGATCGCGTAGCGGAAGACAGCGTGGGCAGACCACCCACAAGGTGAACTGATGATCCGGAGAATGCTCAGGTCGTTGTGGTATTCCTTTGGGGAGGTTTATGTTCAGCAATGGACATCTTTTGGCTGAAATTATAATGATGATTTGAAAACGCAGCTGCAGTGTCACACTGCGCCACAGACTCGCCCCTGCAGCCCTTCTACAAACGGCGCCCTAAAATGTAATTGTAAGTATATATTTTTTTGCAATTTTAAAGTAGGTTCGTTATTTTTTCATCTTTAAATTGCATGTTTTGCACTGAATAGGAGATAATCTAGAGGTGTATTTATAATTTCCCGTCGTATAACCATTATCATGTTTTTCTTGAGCAATTTTGCGCTACTATAGGTACTTTACAGAAGTAATTTCTTTGCAGGCGCTGTTTTAGCCCGATGGGCTGTGGCTCGTGCGATCTACCCCTACATGGTATCCATAGGTTTGGTGTACTTTACGACGCTCAGTCTTTACCCAGGAATTTCGTCTGAGGTGCCTTCCTGTCATCTTGGATCCTGGATGCCCATTATATTAATGTCTGCTTTTAACTTATTTGATCTCATTGGAAAGGTATCGTTTTCTTTTTTAAGGAGTAATATGATAATTTAAATGATTCATTAGGTAGATTAGCTATCCTTATTTACCGGGGCCGGGGGTATTATGTGTGGAAGGTGACAGATACGATGACTCGACGTGGAGAGATATGTGTAGGAGATATTACATACATAGATAATAACGTCTACGTCTAGGAGAGAGCGTTTTCCTGTATATTAGTTTGCAACTTAAAACAGCGATCGTCTTCTTCATTCTTTAGATAAGCTTTAAACAACAATGGACCAAAATAGGTATTAGTGGCGATTGGTCCTTAGATATAAGACGATTCCTACTGCGTTGACTAAAAAATTGGTCGACCTTGGCATATAAGATAATATTATAATTAAGCAATAACATTTTTTTCATCCAACATACAACTATCACATGCCATTTAAAGTTCACTTGTTTTGCATTGAACTACTACTACTTAATGACTACAAAAAACTGTAAAGCTTAATTCTCTAAGTAAATATTGAACGACAAATGTTTGTATTGCAGCATTTGCTGTTTTCCTTCTTTATCGGCTGACGGATCTATTCCAGATATGCATCCTACATACCAAATATGTTTTCTACCATCAGATAGCAGCAGCATGGCCTTACGAATGGAGCCGGAGTCAGCTGCTGATGGCCAGTGGTCTACGTTTGCTGCTAGTGCCTCTGATGTTACTTTGTGCTGCACCGAGGCATTCACCACACATCGTTGGCGATGTTAATATTTTTTCTATTACTCTATTTATTTAGTAGCAGTAGAGCTTGTGAAAGAGTTCGTCCAGGAAAGTATTGCGACCTTACCTATTTCTGCAGCTTAACAATAAATGTGAGCATTACTGCGTTCCAGTTTTAAAGGGTAAGGCCGCTGGTGAATTTACAGGCACACGGGTATTGACAACTGATGTCTCAGATCTTGGAAATTTAAAATTTTGAGTGGCACTGCAACTGCTATGGACAGGCAGCTTGCCACAAGGCGCACGACTTCTTTATCCTGGCACTTGGTATAATAATAAAAAATTTAAAGATTTTTTTTTTATACATGACAGGCAAATGACTCCACTCCACCTGATGTTAAGTGGAAAGTGGTATCCAAACGCGAAAGAACCTAGTGCAGCGATGAAACCCTCACTGCACTAGCCACCTCCACCCTGCCTGCCTACAATATGCCTCTTCACGCCTCGTTTGAAGGACCCCATATCATAAGAGGGAGGGAAGACATGTGCCGGAAGGGAGTTCCATTTGTCAACCGTGCGGCAGAGAAAGGAGCCACCAAACCTTTTAGTACGCGATGGAATGCGGCAGGTAGTGAAACGGTGACTACGAAGGCCAGCACGCGTGCTTCTGAGCAGGAACGGGGAAAGGTGGATGAGGTTGAACAGCTCTTCAGAGCACTCACCATGGTACATGCGGTAAAAGGCGCTAAGCGATGCAACATCTCTACGCAGTTGCAGAGGTTCAAGGCGTGATGAGACCTCTTCGTCGCCTATAATTCGAGTTGCACGACGCTGTAATTTATCCAAGGCATCGAGTAGGTACTTGGCGGAGCCGTCCCACAAGTGCGAACAATACTCAACGCAAGACCGGACCTGTGTTTTGTACAGCAGGCATAACTGGTCCGGCGTGAAAAAACGTCGCACCTTGTTCAGGACTCCGAGTTTCCGTGAGGCTGTTTTGATCACAGATTCGATGTAGCTCCTTGGATTCAAATCACAGCAGATTTCCATACCGAGCAAGGTAAAACTGCTCTGAGGTGAGAGTGCTGTGCTCATCAGAGAAGGCATGGGAAGGAACGGCGACAATTTTGTTGTTAACGCGCAAATCTGTGTTTTCTTGGCGTTGAACTCAACAAGATTTCTAGATCCCCATGCAGAGATGAGGTCCAATATCCTATTGAGCTCACCGACAAGATTAGATCGCTCTCTGTCAGTATCGGCGCGCCCAGCTGCGGGGAATCCGTGATATCCCCCATGAACAGTGCTATCATCTGCATAACAATGAATATTCCCAAGTGGAAGCATATCATTGATATGCAGAAGGAAAAGCGTGGGAGATAGGACGGATCCCTGCGGTACGCCGGCGTTCACATTCACGAACCTCGAAATGCTGCCGTCAGAAACGACGCGAATTTCCCGCTTACGAAGGAAATCTGCAATCCAGCTGCATAACTGGGCTGGCAAACCGTACGCCGGGAGCTTGGAGAGAAGAGCTTTGTGCCAGACCCGATCGAACGCTTTGGCTATATCGAGGCTAACAGCCAACGACTCGCCACGTTTGTCTATAGCCTCACCCCAAATATGCGATAAGTACGCTAGAAGGTCACCCGTTGATCGTTTCGGACGAAACCCATACTGCCGATCATTAATTATGGAGTGATCTTCTAGGTATTGGGTCAGTTGTTTGTTAAGGATCCGCTCTAAAACCTTGCATATTATGGAAGTAATGGCTATGGGACGGTAATTATGCGGGTCTGATCGGTCGCCTTTTTTGGGAACTGGTTGCACATTAGCCTCTCTCCAAGAGTCACGACCTGAAGAGAGTGACAGACGATACAGTCGCGTTAGCATGGGGGTCAACTCAGCTGCGCAGCTCCTAAGTACAATCGCTGGGATACCATCAGGACCACTAGCTTTCCGGACGTCGAGAGACTGCAGCTGCGTACGCACATCGCATTGTCTGATACGAATATCAGACATCGTGTAGCCACAGTGAGGTAGAGTTGGTGGCTGTGCGTTACAGTCGTCGAGACAGGAGTTAGCCGCAAACAGATTTGCCAAGAGGTCGGCTTTATCTTGCGGCTTGTGGGCTAGATTGCCGTCAGAATATCTCAGCGGGGGCAGCGAGGGCTGGCAGAAGTTCGACGCAACGGCTCTGGCCAGACGCCAGTAACTACGACTACCAGTGGGATGCGTCAGGAGTTCTTGGCCAACTCGTGCGACGCGCTGAGCATCCGCTCTGATGTACGCTCTTTTGCAAGACCTGGTGGCATTATTGTAGGCTGTTTTAAGTGAGTTCGTATTGGGATCGTCTGAAGCTCGACCCTTGATCCAAGCGCGGTATGCAGTCTGTTTGTTCTCAACAGCCACAGCACACTCGCGGTTGAACCAGCGGTTGCGCCTCCCTTTACTGACGACATCCGAATGCGGGATGTAGTATTCCATCCCGATTAGGATCTCATCAGCAACGGCAGTCGCGCTAGCTGTTGGATCCACCTCACTAAAACAGCGCTGCCGCCAAGGAACGGATGCAAAATAGTCCCGCATACCGTCCCAATCTGCCGACGCATAATGCCAAATGCGGCGTTTAGCCACAGTAGGTGGTGGTGGCAGTAACGTTGCCACTTTAGTGAATATCAAGCAGTGATCCGAAGTGCCCAGAGGGGCTTGGACCTCCACCCGATATCCAGCCGGGCGAGACGTCAGCAGAAGGTCCAACAAAGAGGGCGCGTCACCAACCCTATCTGGTATCCGGGTGGGCTGGTTTACCAGTTGGGTTAAATCGTGTGTGAGAGCGAATGTGTGGGCAGTTCTTCCAGCATGGTCAGTTTTAGAGGAACTCAACCACGACTCGTGGTGAGCATTGAAGTCCCCTAAAAACACCAATTCCGCTGTAGGAAACTGCGCCTGCGCGTCATCTGCCGCCCGAGTAAGGTGGTCTATGAGACGAGTTGTCTCCATGTCGCCGTGGTGGGATCTGTAGAGGCACATGTAGACACGGCAATGACTGCCCAGGTCAACATGTACCCCAAGGATGGAGAAGGAGGGGTCCTCCAAATGACGCAGACGGCGACAGCAAACATCTGCCCGGACAAACAAGCAGACCCCAGCTTTCGCTTTGAAGGACTCTTCAAGCATATAGCCAGGGTAATTCAAGTAGCTGCTGTCAGCCGGGCAGAGTATTTGCGTCTCCGTAAGGAACAGCATTTCTGGTCGAGCCGTCTCAAGATGTTGGTGGACGGCGTGGATGTTACTGTGGAGTCCTCGAATGTTCGTGAACTCCACCTTAAAGAGCGCTTTAGTGGTGGGGGTGTGCACCGCTGTACGACCGAAATTTGTACTTTGTGCTAACATGTTGGAGGGAAAAAGAGGCGTGAAGCGAGAAAACAGTGCCGCGACACAAGCGGTCAAATCGCGGGGCCTGCTTCCCCAGAGACTTGCCTAAAGACAAGTTGCGCTGATCCGCCGGACGGAAGGGCCCCCGAACCCCCCCCCCCCGGGAATGGCCGCCGGGACCCCACCTCCCGGTCACCAACCGGCACGACGAACCACACCGAGATTATGCGCGGTATGGTGAGGCTGCCTCACGAGCTGGTTAAGCACGCTTGGGCCCCTGTACTGTACCGCGGGCGGCCAGCGGAACAACCGTTTCTACGGGTCTCCCTGGCCGGCGGGTCAATGCAGTTGTCCTGGCACTGGTTCGGCGGAAGCCTCCACAGACCACAAATGTCGCGGCAGCGTTGCCTCGGGCTCTGGTTGTACGCTGACTGATCCCGGAACGCATCCGACTAGCGAACACTTGGCGGGTTTTCCACCATGCGCACGGTGGTCACTAACCAGCCGGGTTTTCAAGCCCTACCACCAGTGCAGCAGCTGGTAGCTCAATATCCTCTTATATCTATCCTTTATCCAATATCCTATCCTTTAGTCGCCTCTTACGACACCCACGGGAAGAGAGGGGCGGTGAATTGTATTCTAATCCGTCACCGCACGGTACATGATTGTTCCAAATAGCAATAGTACATACTATTGCTAAAATACCTTACCTGTTTAGATTGTACAAAAATATTGATAGATAAAATTATATAGATTCTTTTTTCATACAAAATATAAAAAAGGGTAGTATTCGTATAGGATATTTAAGTTTGAGCTCAGTGGCGAGACTCGTTCCTAATGATACAGTTTCTACTTATTCAATGAGTACTTAGTAAAGCATATTGAATTAATTAGCTTTTCAAATTTCAGGATTTAAAAAATATGTTTGTTTCAGATCTACCCTATTATGTTCTCAGTGGTGCTTGGTTTTTCGAATGGTCTCTTTGGATCAGTCCCTATGATAATGGCGCCGTCACGCGTTAGCCGAGAACATCGAGAAATAGCTGGTACATAAATATCCATACTTAAAACCATTTCATGTTATGAAAACGCACTTAAAAAATATTATTATCGGAAATTAAACTATTTTTCAGATCTAAACATCCAAATAATGTACACACTCATAGCGCACACTAGGAAAACCTTGTATCGCGGTGTATTCCGTGATCGCGGTTGCCATGGACACACACATAGACAAATTATACCCAAACTCACGAGACAAATAAAGGCCGTACAAAATATTTCTTCCGGGCCAAGAATCGAACGCGGGACCTCTGCGTGGTAGAGCAGCATGGTAACCGTTCGGCTACGAAAGCAGTTAATGATGACAAGGCAATGAAAAATGACGTATCAATTTGAATTTCCAAGTCTGGGTATTGGCTGCAGGCACTACTCTCGGCCAACATCGGCACATTATTAGACGGTCTTTCCCTCATACTAGCTGTCTGCCTCCGATTGGGGGCAAGAACAGTCCACCCCCATCAATGCACGTGTGGTGATGCTGTTGACGAGTTTGGTCACCATGGCCTCTCATGTACTTGAAGCGCTGGCCGCATATCTCGACACGCAGCGCTCAATAGCATCATCGTACGATCGTGATGGTAAGAGACCTGACGGTATGACTGTCGGTCCATGGAAGCTAGGGAGACAGCTAGTGTGGGACTAAACCTGTGTGGACACCGTAGCCCTCTCCCATGTCCTTGAAAGCGTGGGACAGAGCGCCCGAGAACAGCAAATAAGTTTAGCAATTTAAAGGGAAAATGTTGCTAGCCTACTGGGCACGATGCCCCAGGGTACTGCCCTCGACGAAAATTTCAATTTATAAACTATACGTATCTACCTGCTAGTACATAGGGCGCACTATAATTTTCCGGAACTGGCCACTTACATAAACAACATTTAAAAAGTACTTACAACATTTGAAAATGGAACTCTTTGGCTGTAGAATACAGTTTGTTTCATCTGACTGTCACTTGTTTTTACATTGTGGCTTCATGTTAGAAATTGGTTGTCGACATCACCATGGATTTAACTCGTGAAATTTTTCGTAGTATAATTTTCCACGACTTTAAGTGTAATGCAACAGCTCAGCTGAGCTTCACTCGGATTTCGTGATTGTCGCCCGCCTACTGCTGTGAACAACAAAAACATCCATGCTGTGCGCCGCATGATCAAAACAGACAGTGATGTGGGACATAGTAACAGATGACGAAACATGGATTTATAGTTACGATCCCAAAACAAAGCAACAATCGAGCGTATGGGTCTTTCGAGATGAGCCGAAACCAACCAAAGCGGCGCGCGTGCAAGGTGCCTATCTAAGCGGATGATTGTGTCTTTTTTTTAACAAAACTGGACACGTGGCTACTGTTGCTTTGGAGAATCGCTGTACCGTGAATAATGATTGGTACACAACCATTTGTTTGCCGGAAGTTATTGACAAACTCCGTAAAAATAACCGTAGGCGCCGTATCATCTTACACCACGATAATGCCAGTTCTCACACGGCCAGACAGACAAATGAATTTTTGAAGGTGAATAACGTTGACCTTATGAGCCATCCCGCGGACAGTCCCGACCTGGCACCTAGTGACTTTTATTTATTTCCAAAACTTCAGAACCAGTTACGCGGTCAACGATTTTCATCACCTGAAGAGGCTGTCGAAGAGTATGAAAAATATGTTTCAGAGATTGTGACGGAGGAGTGGCATAAATGTTTTCAAAATTGGTTCTTCGTATGAAAAAGTGCATTAACGCTAACGGAGAATATTTTGAGAAACAATAAATTCATTAATTATTAATACAAAAATCGAACACTCAGAAAAAATCCTTCGATCCTCCCGGATTTGAACTGATGTCTGACACGGTATGCTAGAAGACTTTGGTTCGGATCCGGCCGGATCGAAGGAATTTTTTCTGAGTGTTCGATCTTTGTATTAATAATTATAACAAACTAGTGGAATAATTTCACAAAAATAATTGAATATCAATTCAATGAAATTTGAAAATAAACTCATTTCTGACCATTATAGTATTTTTTCTTATTCATTCCGGAAACTTATAGTGCGCCCCACAAAAATAAATTATCGTTCCTATTAATACTGACACTGGCGATGATCGCCATAATTTTTATATTATTCTTATAAACTAACACTGGTCACGTCTAGTGGCCGCCATAACATAATAATAACATGACGTATACACAAACTTAAAATATAGACGAATAAAAAAACTTTTCGGTTTACTTGCTGTAAGTTGTAACGCTAACCCATGTAGTACCCGGGTGCAATCAATACCCTGGCGCCCTCTGTGGGCACGCGATCAAAATAGAATACTCATGTTATATTTTCCCCATCGCACGGTAAATTCTGGTGCAAATGGTGCAATTATAAATAATGTTGGGAAGCAATAGCCTGTTTACGTCGCTTAAGCCGCAAGCAACACAGGCTCTTTGAAAGCGTCATGAGAGGCGCTCCCTAAGCCCTAAGCCCGTGTGCGCTGCACACGCTGCATAGGCAAAGCCGGCCCTGTTTACTGGTCCTATGATCATGGCTCACTTGGGAAAAATTACACGGAAAAAACAAATATAGGTACGACGCGACTTGGATCCGAAAAAAATAGTTTAATTTGCGATATGTAGCAATAGCGAATACTAACGAACTCGATATTATTATTATCATTAAATCCAAGGCTCAAAGTTTATAGATATTTACTTCAAAGTTATTCAGGACAAAAATGACAAAGTAGACTTAAATATTGTGATCGAGTCAAGTGGCTTGCTCACCGGCTTTCATGAAGTCGCCATCTCTGATGTTCCGGATTCGATCATTCGATCCCCATCAGATTCAATATAGAAAACTAACTTTTCTATATAGTCTCGAGGCTGGATGTTTGTGGTACCATCGTTGTTTCCGATGTCCATACAAGTGCTTTAGTTACTTTCTTTGGGGTCGGAGCAACGTATGTGATGTTGTCTAAAATTTATATAATATTTGCGCAGTATTTAGTTATTATTTGTCATTTTATTATGGTCAACTAGATAATTGAGAAATGTTTCATCAAATTTTGTTTTGTGATAAAACGGTTATTAGCGACTTTGTTTATGGTCTTACGATAGAACATAGTTTAAAAAACAGCAAATTCTATCTCCGTGAGATTCTAGAATAAGAATTTTTTTTTTCAATAATGTGTTTTCAGGTAATATGATGACGCTCTCCTATAATGGCGGCCTGCTATCTGGTTCTCTTGTCTCCTACCTACTTCTGAGCATGTTGGGCCCTCCAGCTGGATCTCCGTGCAGAATCTACCCCACTCCACCGCTACCGACCATACCTACGACCACTGCGACCACCACTATCGCTCCTAACTTCACTTTAACGCACTAACTGTATTATTACCCGTATTCTTTACAATATGGAGATAATATAATATTAAAACCTATCTAACGATTTACTAAAAGTATGATCAAACACAATCGACTTGCATTTGTGTTAATTCCAAGGGTTAAAAAAGGTAACCGTCATAAGGTTTCAGTGCGTGCAAATTTGAAATAAAACTTACAGGTAAGGTAAAATTATAATGTCCTGAAAGGTTCTGTACCTGTAACTGAAAAAACTTTTACGTTTTAAATTCCATCTTATTGTCATGGACTATATGTTCAATTTTGCACGCGCTGAAACAGTTATAATCAATGTTGCCTTTTTTGGTTAATTCACAGGTAAATACTTGCGGTAGGTACACGCATTGACACAAGATACCAAAACTTTGTTGACCTTTTGGTTCTGAGCATATACTTAAATGTGGAGAAAAGTGTTTAACAAACCTAATTTTGGTAACCCGTAAAATTCATTTCAATATGTCTTCTTGATCGCGTTAGTGAAAAAAATTGTAGGAAAGTTTTTAAACCAATTTGATCTTTAACGTATAGTTTTTACTGAATACAAATTTCAACTGCAATAGTAAGGCTGTCGTGGTCCTATGCTTTGCAAGTTGAGGCGAAGCGTGGTTCGAATCACATAAAAAATAAAATATCGTTTAGCTAGGGCAATATAATAGTGTGAACCACCATTAGGTGAATGAAACAAACATTTGGTGAATGAAATAAAAGTTAACTTCGTGGGTAACTCAACAAATACTTTATTTTATTTTTCTAAATTATAACTAGTAGCAGGAATGGAATGGAAAATGCATATTGTCTCTGTTCTCTACAATATTCTTCATAACCCTCTGTTTCTGGAGTATCTGAAAGAGCGTTACATTTTTCTCAGGTGTCAGGATAAACCCTGTCGCTCTCTCGTTATGTCCCAGTTATCTTTTCCTTCCTTAAATTCCGGTTTTTATTCTCACTCCTTCACTATTCATCAAACTTCGGAACGCACTTCTATTACTGTTCATGAAAGTAGATCGTTAGCTACTTTTATTTATCCACTGTTTCATCCATTTTATAGGTATATTATATTCTGAAATATGTATTTATCTAGTTTATAATAGTTTAATGTTATTAATACTGTATTACATATTTTGTTTTTTTTGTGCACGTAAGCCCGTTAATGTATAGTTATTGTGACCTGTGTCTAGTTCTGCAGGAAGAAATTTGTTATGGAAATAAGCAGTACGTTTTGTTTAAGTTTTCTTTTTATTAAATTTAATTTGTTCGTTTTCCTGTGCAATAAATAATAATAATAAATAATAATTACTTAAAACTACTTGCAAATAAAAACTTGAACTTGTGATTTGTCAACGTTAACTATTTAAATTGAAACAATCCCGTTAAAAATACATAATAAAACAAAATAGTGCTCGTGGAATCGAAGCACGAGTATTAGTCATTTGCAGTCCATACACCAAGCCTAGATATATATATATATATTAAATGACGAAATTTAGTATCGATTTGAAATATAAGTTAATATTCTTTAAACAACACTCCAACGTATTGCCCCTAGTTGAAATCCTTTATTTTTTTCTGTCATTTTAAATCATTTCTGTAGTCTAATTCGTAAGATGGCTCTCAGAACCAAAGGGTTGGTTTTAGGCATGGAGGTGAGGTATCTTGTGTAACAGAGTGTACATATTTGTGTACCTTACTTCACTCGTGTTTGTGTTCTTACGCTACGCCTACGTGATTTATTTATCCAAGATGAGTATCTATCGCTGCAAGATCTTTAAAATATACGACATATACGTAGTTGCTACAACGTACGTTAGTATTTCAATTTGCTTTTGACTCTATCTTTAATTTAAAATACTGAATTGCAAAGTGGGAAGTGTTTTATATTTTCTTCTATACCAGTAAAATCGAGAAAAATACCTTGTCTAATCCTGGTGTCGGTGATGTCAAAACTAAAGGGATTCACTGCTCATTACGGACATTATTAACTACCTTTGTTAAATAACTTTTATTTACACTATACTATATTTAAAATCAAGTTTTGTACATGAAAATATGTTTTTACAAATGTTCAAAAGTCGAGAAATTATAGTTAAACATTGTTTTTGAAATACCTAGTTAATTGCACAATAAGCTTTTCAATTAGGTAGGTATGGCGTAAATTTTACAGACACCTACATAATTATTACTATACTTTTGGCTTTCACTAAAATTTCGATCCCGGGTTCTCGTTCACGGCAATTTTCGAGAAAGCTTTTATTCGAGGTCAGTACCGAGAAATCCCGGATTATTACAAATTTAAGTTTGAATTTAAAATTGTTTTATTGAAAAGCATTACAAGTTAGGCTGCTAACAGATGGACTGCACGTCAGCAATTAATGCGTGCAGTCGTTATCGACTGCATAGAGTTGACATTTCAGCTGCAAAGTTGATGTGAACGATAGTCCGAGAATCAAAAGTTCTAATTGTCATTTTTAAGAGGAGTTTTTTGTGTCTGTAATACCTTGATTTTTTTTCAACAGTGGCAAAAGGTAACGATAACTTAAGAGCTTAATCAACATATCTAAAACAAAAACATGATTATTAAAACTTTTCTCGACGAATTCACCCGCACATTTTTTTTTTGCCTTTGTTTACTTTTTAGCCGTACATTCCGGCGCAGTATATGCATAATCGGGGATTACGGACGTGAGTTTGTTGACAAATTTCAATAGAAGATTTCTATAGCGATATTTATTACCTTAATAAAAAGTAAAGTCAACATTTAGAATCATAAAAGTTTCGAACACAGAGACACCCTACACGTAACATCTGTGCTTCCTTTTCGATATCCATAATTATACACTGAGCTCTCGAGCTAGGCGCGCAGTGGCGATAGTTGCTGCAGTCAGTGTCGGAACCGACTGCAATTTGTATTATATCGACTTCGTGCATACAGTCCATCTGGCACATTGAGTACGTAGTCTGAGTAGCAGCCTTAGCGTGAAAACGATGCCTTTCGATAAAATGAGATAATACGAATTTGATGAAAATATAGTTTATATATACGAATTTAAATTAATGTACCTGTGTCTTTATCAAAATCCATAGTATTGCGTATTTTTAATATTTATTGCCTAGGTATGAATTATTGGCACTTAGTTTATATAAGTTATTAAACGTATTTACGTACATAACACTTAACATAAATAATTGAGTGTTTTGTGTGTATATACTAAATGTGCATGTAGTAATTGTAAGTAGGCATCATCTATTTTGGTAAGTAAACATTTTAAATTCCTTCACTTATTCATGTGTATAATAGTTGCGCATAATACCTAAATGTGCTTGCTTAAGAAAAGGGGTCGATCCTTTGCGTCTGTTCCACAATTTCCACGAACGAATTTCACAAAATTTAATATAATTTTTTATCTAAACGGGGTGATTTTCGGGTTACTTTTCTCTACCTGATTTCGGTGGCAATTTTTGTTGGGCATTTAAAAATATTCCAGTATATTATCGTGGAATATTAAATAATATTTCAGAATAGGTACCACCCTGAAATATTAAATAATACTCCGTGACAATATTCTATAATATGCAATAATAAAAATTGCCACCGAATTCAAGTAGAGAAAACTAACCTGAAAATTACCCGACACAAAATTTCGAGATAATTATGCCAGATCATGCTCTTAATTCAACTTTTCATAGCTAGTCTCTATTTGTGAGATGCTTATAAGCCATTTATTACAGTTTCTACTAATCGAATTTTCTGATTTGTATGTGAATGTGATAGATAGCCGTCAAAAAGGCCTCAAGTCTCACAATTCTTATTCGATCTTAATTGTCGCTGATGCCAATTCTTACTAATATTAAAAACACAAAGTCTTAATTTATTTTCGGTGGAAACGCAATCCAAGAGCCATTATTGTAAAGAATTAAGAATTTCAACTTTCAACCTCCACCTGGCAAACTCGTACTGTATAATTTGTCTATGCTGACAAATTAGTTTAGGCAATCAGGCGACCGACACCAATTACAGCCTTATTACTTAACCTAGAAAGTACCTACATACGACATTCATCTATCGTAATTAAACTAGTCAAGTACCTCTTAATTTCTTAAATTGTAGATACCGTTGTAAATAGACTGTAAATATTAAAATTTACATATCTGAACTTTCAAACGTGTATCGTTCCTATATTGTAAACCACATGTAACTAAATTAAATATTTATTAAGTACAAACGCAACTTGCATACAAATTGTAAAGTGGCAAAGACTCATTATGCATAATCGACAGATTTTAGTGGACTAAAATCTATTGATTATGCACATTGACTTACAATTATATGGACGTCGGGTCCGCGCTAAAAAGTGTCCGAACTTATAGGGCGTTGTTAAAATCGTATACAGAGCGTCATTCACGCTTTAGTCTTAGTTTGTTCGACTGACAGCGAAGCAAGCAAAATTAGACAGTACTGCGATGACATTACAATTTAAATTCAACGTTTTAGCTTTTTCATATTCCTTTACATGTCACTACGTTTAAATAGGTTGACTTGGGACATTTTCTTCGTGGTTTTTGTATTAGACCCGTCGTCCATTTATTTGTAAGTCAATGATTATGCATAATATATAAAATCATTGATAATATAGGTACCAAAGTTTTGGCGGCACTATAGTTAAAAATTCAAAATTTGATTACTCTTGTATTTTTCTGGTCTATAAAACTATGCTAACATAAGTTTATCTTGGATGTCCTAGTGTTTTAAATAAGGCGGATTCAATCTAGTTTCTGGCGATTACAACTGAACAAACACTACCTAATCACGGCTGCAGTCAAATGTAAGTGTCGTGGTCCGCGAGATTTAGACCTGTCCACGCCAAGATAAAATTATCAATATAACATCTGCGTTGTGTGTGATCGTTTAGGTCGCCGTCGCCAACTTGCTGTGTAAGGCCCGGCGCCCATTCCCGGGACGGTATGGCGAGGGATGTTTCGGCACCCCTACATGCAATCGCACCCTGATGGCAAATATGCAAGACCGTGCAAGACTAAACTAAAATAATATTAAAGTATCCATAGGCATGCCGACGCTTATCTAGGCTCTTCAGATCAGTCGTAACGTTGAACGTAAAAGCCTGCCGAAGCATCCCGAAGGCTTCCGAGGCATTCCGGGGACTGCCGACTCGATATCCCTAAGCTTACCGCAAACATCTAAAAATCGTGCCGGCATTGGACGCCGGGCCTGGACTAAATCTAAATAAGATTAAATATAAGTTTTTTTGCTAAATGTAACCAACCTTATACCTAATTGAATTGCCATATAAAGTGCCGCTACGATAATCCATACGGTAAAAAATTTATTGTTAATGTTGTTGAATATTGTATGTGAAATGGAAGTACAG